AAGGTTTGATCCTAGTCTCTTGCATTTTACATGTACTACACCCATGTTTTCCATCCTAAGCATAAGCCTGCATTGACTTCCTGAATGTCTGAGCTTCACTGTACCCTCCTCCACTTCCCCCTCTGACCTCCACTCCCTCTTCAGCTCAGCTTCTCTCTTTCTGAGCTCACTCTGTCGTTGGCGTTCGCGTTGACTGGCCAGAGTCCGCGAGCTGAACACCCTCTTCTTTATTTGATCCACTACCTTCCTCTCCCTCTCTCTCTATCCATCTCTTCAGCTACTTACCCATTCATCTCTGTCCTGCCCTCAGGGTAAGTAACCTAGAAAATATTTAACAGTTGACTGAATGTTTTTAGACGTCATGCTTGAGGTACACACACAATGCATTTTCAGGAAAAAGGTAGAAGGTGTGCAACAGGCAATCCTGCTGCTCACACCCTCATTCACAGCACAGACATGTTGATGTTATTATGTAAAGATTTGGCTTTAATCAGTTCTTGTGAAGTAACTGACTATGATGGTTGAATGAGTTCCCGGATGTGTACTCTTAACTGTTTGTTTGAGGGAGTTGTGTTACCCTTGACCTGCATCATTCCTCTAATGACTCTAAAAGTCTGGATTTTATTATCACAGGCTGAGTGATACAGGGTGTTTCTCTGTGCATAAAGAGTTGAAGTCGGGATGGTGGATTTTACATATATAGACCAACTTTCACTGTAACTTGGTAGTTTTGTAAATTTCACTAGTTTTAAACTTTGTTGTGTTTTCTTTCCTGTTTAACATGAATATTTTAACTTCTGTTTTTCTGCACTTGACTGTTATCCCTCAGCCCACCAGCTGCTGGTTCCTTGCCTCATTTCCTGGTCTGTTTCTAGCATCTGATTGGCCATGGCGTATCATAGTTTCCTGCTGGAACCAATTAGCTGCCATGCCTGGAACAAAGATCAAACCCGTAAGTCTGCTTGCCTTCTCTGATTGGTCATTTGAGGCTTGTTGTTCAGTTGTTTCATCTCTAAGCTCAACACTTTTTTTTTTAATCAAATACGTCGTTTAACATCTTTGGCTAGTGTCTGCCAAAGAAAAAAATTGTGTAATAGACAGAAAGTTATGACTGGCTCCCAGGTGGGTGAAGATATTTCCTGTTTCCTGTAACAGGGTGGAGTCTGTGGGCCTTTCTGAGAGGCTCTTGTGCTCCGTTAGCTGTAGGAAACTAATGCCATATTTGGCTGTTGTCATCAGTGCTTTGGTTTCTGAGCAAAGCGGATGTAACAGGCGGCTGTGGTTGAGTCATAGGCTCATACTGTTGTAGTTTCACTCAACTTGCAGCTGACCACTTTAGTTCATCTTGCAGGATGAGTATTCAAAAAAAAAAGAAAATGCAGCATCTGACTCATCTGTCTAAAACTTATGCAAGGTTTGGTGCAAGATTAATTACCAATAAATATCAATTGAAGCACCAGTCTTTAAATTGGAATAATTATAATTATAAGGTCACCTCAGTGGAGAACGAAGGCTTTTGAGTGTTGCAGCTGTCTACTGTGGTGTTGTGGGTTTTCTCCAGGTTCTCCGGTTTCCCCCACATTCTTAAAAAACATGCAACAACTGATTTTAAATTTGGACTTAATTGATTTCTCTAAATTGTACTTCAAAAGCATATACCTAAATGTTACAGAAGCGCATTGCATTTACCGAAGAAATAAATAATTGGAGAACCTTGTCACATAATTAGTTTTTGATGTTATTTACAGGCTATTTATGCAATAAATAGTGCAGCTTTATGGGAAGGAAGGTTAACAGTTCTCACACATCGTCTGTTTAAAGATACCATGTGTCTGTGTGGTGTATTTCTGTAGTTTTCCTGTTCTCATGCATCCAGTCAGCTGTTCTGTGTTACATTCCACCACTCGTCATTCAGCGTACACACCTCCTGACATTTGCACTGTACTTTGACCTCACACTAATGAATGCCTCACTGATTTGTGGTGCTGTCTGTTGGTGCACAATGTACTTAGTTTTTTTTTTTTTGGTTCCAGAGATTGCCCTCTGCCCCAACAACCATGATGTCCACATCTACAAGAAAGATGGAACCAAGTGGACCAAGACTCATGAGCTGAAGGAGCACAATGGGCAGGTGACAGGTGAGGCACACTCATGAACACAGAGTGATTTACTGTCGTCTTCTTTATGTTCTCCTCTAAACATCCAAGTTGCCAAAATAGCAGTCAAAATGAAAAAGGGAAAGTCTTGCCAAGTGACATAGTTTGAGAATTAAATCCACCACTGTGAAAGAGAGAGCATTGAAAGAGCTGAATTAGAAGTTGCATATAAATCTATACATAACTTTTTAAATTGCAACTACCCACTGATGCCAAATAAACAAAATTAAGTTATTTTAAGTATTTAAATTAATAGTTTAACATTTTGCTAAATACACTCAACTGCCTTGTTGAGAGAGGAAAAATAATATTAATGCAGTGCTTGTGTCTGTAAAGTCGGTATGAAGCAATTACCAGCAGTTTGTTAGCTTAGCTTAGCACAAAGACTGTAAACAGTGGGAAACCGTTAGCACAGCTTTGTCCAAAGGTAAGAAAATCTAGCAGCACCTCTAAAGCTCATTGATTTCCTAAATCCAGACAAAAAGTAATGTTAATAACAACAAGTTGGAGTTTTATGGGGAGTTAAAGTTGAACTCAAAAGTTTACATACATCTAAGTCAATTTAAACTCAGTTTTGCACAACTCATGACATTTAATCCTATAAACATTCCCTGTGTTAGGTCAATTACCATCACTGCTTTAATTTAAGAATGTGAAATGTCAGAATAATAGTAGACAAAAATTAATTTCTTTCATTAATTTTAGCCCATTCTTCCAGACAGAACTTAGTCAGGTTTGTAGGCGTCCTTGTCGCACATGCTTTTTTCAGTTCTGCTCATAAATTTTCTGTAGATTGAGGTCAGGGCTTTGTGACGGCCTCTCCAATACCCTGTGCTTTGTTGTCCTTAAGCCATTTTACCATAACTTTGGAAGCATGCTTAGGATAATTGTCATTTTTAATGATATTTTTATGTCTCTTTGAACAAAAGCATTTGCCAATATAAAAAGTAGTCGTAGTCTATTAGATTTTTTTTTTTTTTACCTTTAGATAAAACAAAATGTCAAACTGTTTCATTCAATATGCACAGCCATAAAATATGAGTACTATTTTTTTCTTCTGCAGGTATTGACTGGGCTCCAGACAGTAACCGTATTGTTACTTGCGGCGCAGACCGTAACGCTTATGTGTGGACCCTCAAAGAGGGTGCATGGAAGCCCACCCTGGTCATCCTCAGGATCAATCGCGCTGCTCGCTGTGTGAAATGGTCTCCTAAAGAGAACAAGTTTGCTGTTGGCAGCGGTTCACGTCTCATCTCCATCTGCTACTTTGAGCAGGAAAATGATTGGTGAGGGTTTAGCTTCCTGTCGCTAATTTACCTAAAAGGAAACATTTGATTATTATGAACCACACTTTGGGCAAATCTCACCTGCTGTGTCGTTCCGTACAGGTGGGTATGTAAGCACATCAAGAAACCAATCCGTTCCACCATCCTCAGTCTGGACTGGCATCCCAATAATGTCCTGCTGGCTGCTGGATCCTGTGACTTCAAATGCAGGTATCAGTTAATCAAGACAGGTGGACATATACTTGTGAGGACCCTCTGATAGCAGCTTCCTTTCATATTTCTTGAGGTCTCACCCATTTGTTTTTTGTGTGTGGAGATTTTCCTTATTTGAATAAAGGCTCAAAGAACAAATTCTTATCTAGATACAAAGTCAAAACATAACCCTAAACTGGCATTTTGATGAAGAGAAGCTTTTTCTCACAAAAATTTCAGAACGATGAAGCAGTGGTAACACAAAACTCAACATACAAATAGCATATTATATGGTTATATGGTTACATATAAAAAGCTTTCTGCCATTTATAGTAAGTCATAATCCTGATAGTAAAGATCAGTCACGGTTTTCATCTTCGCCTCCCTCTCTTGGTCTTATCTGTTACTTACCTCCTGACCCCTCTTGCCTCCAGAGTGTTTTCGGCCTACATTAAAGAGGTGGAGGAAAAGCCGGGCCCCACTCCCTGGGGCAGCAAAATGCCTTTTGGGGAGATGATGTTTGAGTCTGGAGGGTCCGGAGCTGCAGCTCAGACTTCAGGAGGAGGCGGCGGTTGGGTGCACAGTGTGTGCTTCTCACACTCCGGGAACCGTCTGGCCTGGACCTCCCATGATTCCACTGTGTCTGTCGCAGAGGGAGGCAAGACCACCACGTAAGAAAGGGCGGGGCCACATACTGTGCCTGTGTGTGTCTGTGTTTGTTTGTGTTATGGGTGTGCACTCTGACCTCTGCTGTGACCTCCACAGGGTGAGCAGCCTGAGCTCTGAGACGCTTCCTCTGCTGTGTGTCACCTTCATTACTGAGAACAGCTTAGTAGCAGCTGTGAGTATTTGACATGCATCTATTTTTTCTGCTGTTTACATATTTACTTATTTTGTGTGTGTCTGACTTATTGACTGGTACAGTGGATAATAAGGTAGAGGCATTAATTCTGACTTCACTGAGGAGTTAATGTTCAGTTAACAACAATCAGATTCAGAAATGATGATTTAGATAAATACTATGCATTTTGTTGACCAGTGACCACTGCGAATACAAGTTACAAGTTAATGGCAAATTGAGTCAAAGACAGTAATGGGTGATCCTTTTGGAAGTTAAAGATGCTATACACGTAATCACAGTATGTCTGGATCAAGTCTATCTGGGGACTGTTGTGTGTAGTCCCCCGTCACTCTGTCTCCCTTATGTTCTGTCAGCTGTGTATTGTTTACTACTGTCTAATAAAGGCAAACATGCCTGTGGTTCCAGGAAAATGACATAAGCAGTGAAATGTCATTCTGTTACATGCTAAAATGTAGAATGTCATAAAGTCATTATAGAGTCTCAGTAATCATACAGCACAAGTAGCTATATCCATATATTTTCCTGCTCAGTTTCATTGCATCCATGTGTGTATGTGTGTTCTTCCAGGGCCATGACTGTTACCCAGTGCTGTTTGTGTATGACAGTGCCAAAGGCAGCTTGACATTTGGCGGAAAGCTGGACGTTCCTAAGCAGGCGGCCCAGAAGGGCATCAGCGCCAGGGAACGTTTCCAAAACCTGGACCGTCGGGCCTCAGAGACCCAGGGCACCGACAAAGACCTGAACACCCTCCATAAGAACAGCATCAGGTAGGAAATAAACATGATATAATTTGGACTGAAAGAATTAGGTGGTGTATATGTGCAAGGAGGTGGACAAGAGAAATTCCAGTGATGTGTATATGTACATAAGTCTTTTTTTTTAATAGACTATCACTGGGGAAAATATAGTACAAGAAATTAAATGTAGTGTAGATGAGTTTTAAAAGTCTTATTTTCACTGAAGAGAAGACGGGAGGTGGAAAGCGGTTATAATTTCCAAATATTTGAAGAGTTACAGAATCTTATTCTTAAGTTATATCTAATGTGCAACATGAAAATGCAGCCAGCCATCTAGTTTTTGTTAGTATCAAGATCCTGGTATGGACATAACATCTGAATGATAAACAGTATCAGTGCAATGGGATACAAGTGTATACACAATTACAGAGTTTTACTTGTCTCAAACTGCATTTCAGCCAAATCTCAGTGCTGGCAGGAGGAAGAAACCAGTGCACCAAGTTCTGCACCACCGGCATGGATGGAGGAATGGCCATCTGGGATGTCAAGGTAACTCACATTGTGAATAATACACATAATACAGATGTTGGCCTTATTTGTGTGATATCTTCTTGACATGATGTTTTTACAGATATAATGTGAACATTGCTTTTTCCTCAATAATTTCAGAGTCTGGAGTCTGCGATGAAGAACTTGAAGATAGTCTGAACTGAAATCGCCCAAAGTATTGCAGCTTTTAGACATATGGAAAAAAAACTGCAGCCTTATCATACAAAGCTTCTTGGCCATATTTTAATCAGGTAACTTTTATATACAGGTTAAAATGTCCAGACTGGGGTCAAACAGAGTTTGCAATCTCTCTGAAGCTCTTTGCTGAGCTTGTTGAACTCCACACTGTAAACAGAGGGACTGACCACAGGTCTGCAAAGAGTACTTAATGAGTTGGATTAGTATAATCACAGAGAACTCAGTCTGAGCTGAATGCTTCAAGCAGGAATTTTCTAATAATCATGATAAAAGGCTGCTGCACTTGTTAAAAGCATATGCTGGTCATAATATGCATCTAATAAATGATTGCTGTTACAGTATTGAAGAATGGTGTGTGTGTGTGTGTGTGTGTTCAGCATCATGATGGAGACCGTTTAGTATTGTCAGAAGATCCAGAAAAGGCGAGTAACAGCTACATTTGTTTTGCCAACTGTTCAGGGAGGTTCAGGGTTTGGAAGGCCAGTTTTGAGGGTTTTTTTTTTTTTTTAAAGACAGTCTTTAAAAGTGAATACCAAAAACGTACAGCTATTTTATAACTGATTAATTGTTTATGTGAAACTGCCAGATATTTTTCTAGATCCAGGGACCAAGCTGTGTTTCTTAGTTTTACATCATTGTAAACTGAATATCTTGAACAAGCAAACAATTTGAAACCATCCCCAGGATGTTGATTTCCACTGTTTTATTTTCATTTAATAGACTTTCAATAAGGAAACTGGCAGATTGATCAGTAGACTTTCCCACTGAACTGAATGGGAATGTGTGTGCAGACTTTGGACTTCACCAAAATCACATTGTGACAGTGTGGAGATGGCTTTGAAACTATAGTTAAATCATACTGTAGGGTCCTAAAATGTATCGGAAGACTTAATACAAAGACAGAAATACAATAATATATGAATATCACTGACTTTTTGGTGGCTTGTCAGAAATTTTTGAAGGGAGATTTGGACTTATGGTCTCAGTATTTCCAAAATCCTGGTTACAGCCCTCAATTAATCAGAACAGTAATGTTGAATATTAAAAGTGAAATCCGTTCATTCATCAGAGCCCATCGGGGAGCAACATCTGCTTAAATAATGTTTCAGTTTAGCATAATATAAAATAATAAAACACATCATCATCAAGACTCCATCTCCACCTAGAGGTGGAACCAGCACGTAGAGACACAGATCAGCACTGAATTCTCCAGTCCTGAGTGCAGCCCCTTGGAAAGGGATGTGGCAGCCTTCAGTTATAAGAACCAGCCCTCCTCACCGAGTCGTGATGAGGTGAACCGGCGGCTGGAGCTCAGCAGAGACCAGCAGAGACCACCACAACCACCGTTTCCTCGGAGTCCGTCCCCGACGCCCACACTTCCGGACCGGATCCTCTGGAGGCAGTTGTGTCGGGATGCATCCGTCTCTCGGGGGCTGCTCGAGTCGCGCGTAGGACGACGACGTGTTCCCGGTGAAACGGCGATGCTCGTTACGTTACATTAGACCTGCCCGTTACAACCTGAGCTTATTCAGAGAGGATTCCGGCTTTGCCACATTGTCCGTCTGCTGTCAACTGTTGCTTATTTCCACTAAATGAATCTTGTAAGGTAGGAGAAAACCTCATTTTACCGCTAGTAATATAACTCAGGGGTACAAATCTCAGATAAATAGAAATGTTTATCATAATGCTGCTTAATAGTGATGTTAATGGCGATGGTGAGGAGGAAGAGGAGGATGGGTGGGTTTGGGAATGATTTATTAAAAAGTCACCATTTGTATTTCAACATATCTCATAATTAATCATCTTGTAGTTTGGGCTTTATTTGTTTGAAAAGCCTTTTAAAGAATAAAGCCCACCTGCCACTTCCCCCATCCTCGTCCTCATCATCATCATCATCATCATCATCCTGCTGTCTGTTCTGCCTCCTCTTTTTGTGTGCACTGTCATTTCTGAAACACAACAGACCACAGAAACACACGTCCTCCTCATCTTCAGCCTCTTGGACTTGCTATATATCTTGTGGACTTGCATCCAAAAGCCAGTTAGGTCTAAGTCGGGTTGTGGTGCTTTTAGGATAAAGATAATCACCTTTATTGGCCAAGTATGTTACACACAAGGAATTTGTTTTTGTTTCATGGGTTTCACCGAAGACATCAAACAAAGCAGACTAAGACTGTAATTGACTTATTTTCATTATCACTCATCTCAACTAATCTGTTGTTTGTTCCTTAAAATGTCAGAAAATGGTACATATACATGTATAGTGTTTATTCTGAGTTTTCAGAGCCTAGTGTCTTGTTTTCTTGTCCACCAGCCCAGAACCCAAAGATATTAAATTTACTTCAGTAGAATTTAGTTGTTTGTTTCCAGCAGACCACACTGCACCCAAATATTTCCTGCTGGCCACATGCAAAAATCCCCTCAGCTGATACATACAGGAAAAGCAGATATGGATCCATTTGCATGTGTGGGAAGTTTGTGCTCATTGTACAGTAGACTGAGGCTGTAGAGGACAAATCATGTTGCAGTTTTATCTGGTGTGATATGGGTTGTTGTGCATGACGGCTTTAGGGATGAAGCTCACAGTTCAAGAAGGTGGGAGGTGATTTTGTGGTTATTTTTGCAGCCATACATAAAAACGCTCCCTTGGTTTGAGTGGCAGTCCTGATATTATTTTTGTTTGTTCTCATCCAGAACAGAAACGATTAATAATCGATTGGTTAATTAATAAAAAGAGTCAGAAGATTAATTATTGTTTGGGGGGGGGACCCAAATATTCTCTGGCCCAAGCTTCTCAAACCTGAGGATTTGCTGCTTTTCTGCAGTTTATAATCTATCATGCAATGTCATGTAATATTATGAGGATATGGAGTGTTGGTCAGATCAGGTGTGGCATCTGAAAATGACATTGTGACTTCTCAAAAGCTATGATGGGAATTTTATTTCTAGCACTGAGATTCCGTAGACCAAATGATTAATGAAAAAAATATTTGATAGGTTAATGACTGACCTCCCTTTGACTGGTGAATCATTTCACACTCAACACATGACACCCACTAGAATATAGGCCTACAACAAATGGATATTTTCATAACTGAAAATGTCCAAAGTACTGAATGTCTAAAATCCATATACAGTATATTTATATTACTGTAACACAGAAAAAAGGCAAATCCTCATATATAAGAAGTTGCAACCAGTGAATGTTTGGAATTTTTGCCTCATCAACGGCTTAAATGATTTATTTATTATCAGAATTGTTGCAGATTGATTTTCTGTCAGTCCACTAATCAATCATTTGACTAGTCATTTCAGCTCTACTAGTCTTTCTTTTTTCTTTTTAATTTTCCCTGCTTCTTTACTTGAACAAAGAGCATGATCTGTCCATAAAATAGGCCTCGATATTAACAGTTAACTGTTGTGGTGTTCAATAAGATGACCAACGCAGAGAGAGTTTGTTCTATCTATGCCGTGGTTGTTTGAGAGGTGATATCCCGATGTTTCCACAGCTGTGCTCCTCTCCGCCCAGGCGCCCTGTCTCTCTGCCTCTGGCCTGGTAATTATCAGCCAGTTTGATAAATTCATTAATGACTTGGCCAAGCCTGCTGGCACTGATACACACACACACACACTCCAAAGAGGGAGTCAGTGAGACAATGTGAGGCATGTGTTGGATACAGAGCAAGGAAGCCTTTTATTTGGGACAGGATGATGTGTTTCTGGGCTGGGTCAGTTTGTATTAATAGCTCTGAGTGAGTGTCGCTAAAACAGCTGCTGAACGAGAAGGAACACAGCACAGGAGAAAGAGAAAAAACATTTGTTAAGCATAATTGTCATTATGTGAGATGAATTTTATATCATTCCCCAACTTTACTTCAGTTTTATCTGCTGTATCTGTGTGTTAGCAATCAGAATCAGCTTTAGTGGCCAGGTGTGTTTGACGCATGAGGAAATTGACTCCGGTACGGTGGCTCTCAATGTTATGTGCAATGTTCTTCTGTAAAGCAACAAGTAAACACAATAAGACAGAGAGAACAAGAAAAATGTAAAAATAAAGTACTTATATACTAAATAGGAATCAAAAGTGTCATAGGTTCTTGTGCAAATACAAGAAGAAGCTTTGAGGAGAACGTCGTGTTCCACTGTGTCTCACACAGTTGTGCAACATACTGTAGAGATACAACATGGTTTGATTTAAGGGTAATATTCTAAACTGTGAATAGTCACTTGTGATTCCATCAGCCTGTTTTCCCTAATGAGATGGTACACACTGCACATACACAGCTCCACAGATATTATTTTATGAAAAACTATGCTTTTGGCTGTTTCTAATGTTGGGGGCATTTAGAAAAGCAAACTGACTTTCCTTCACTTCTAAATGTATATGTATGAATTTTTAATTTTAGTGGTATTCCCTTTGATGGCAGCCTCTTTCTTGTGAGTCCCACCAATCATAGAAGTGTGTGTGTGTAAGACAAAGAGACAGAGAGAGGTTGCTAAATCTAGGTCTCTTATGAAATCTGGCTCCACAAGATGCAGCATAAAAATAGGTAGGGGCTGTGTTTTGTGAGTGTATGTGTGTGTGGATGTCTTCGTCTGTTTGCCTTCCTGCATGTTAATTTAATAGTGGGGAAGCAGAGGGGAGCCGCGGCTGGGGAACAGGGGAGAGAGAGGGATGAAACAGAGTTTTCTGGTGTGTGGATAAAAAAAAAAAAAGACAATTCGTGCCTGATGGTTTCCATGACAACAGTGACATCATGACAAGGGGCTTCCTCCTGAACTGTTCTGGGTTTGCTTCTGTTCATGTTCAAAGGAAGAGAACTGAGTTCATATATATGTATGTGTGTGTGTGTGTGTGTGTGTGTGTGTGTGTGTATATAGATATACGTGCATGTACATGCACGTATATCTGTACATGTGAACTGTTTATGAAAGACATCATCAGGAAAACCGCGGGTTCAATTGGTCCGTGGTTTCCCAATGTTGCCAGGCAACTGTGGCCATGGCAACAAGTTGAAGCATGATCCAGTGTTGCTAAGCACAAGGATGGTGGGGTGAAATTACATGAGCACCACTGAGAAATAAATATTAAAGATTTTTAGGACATTAAGAAGAGGAAACGCATCAGTTGTGCTGAATGTATCATTTCCACAAATGCTGCTTTTCAGCTAGAAGTCAATAATGTTGCTGTAAAAGTCTTTTTATTTAAATTTTTAGTATCTTCAGCTCTGCTAGTTGGTACATTACAGATGTTTTATTGTTGCATATAACTCAGTTCATCATCACTGCAACTAAAGATTGTTTCCTTATAGATATAAATGTTCAGATTACTTTAATGATTAATTGGTGAATTAATGGTCCAAAGCATCCAAACATATTCAGTTTCTTATTACTGAAACTAAAGGAACCAGAAAAGATTTGAATAAACAATAGTTGCCTATTAATTTTCTTGACTAATCATTGCAGCTTTGATGCTATTGAACATGTAAAATTACATCTGATTTGTGATATTTCCAGGTTCATGAACAACCGTGTTCCTCCTAACAAGAGATACCAGCCCACAGAGTACGAGCATGCTGCCAATTGTGCCACACATGCCGTAAGTGCACACAGAAACCCAGACCACAGAAAGTGCATTAATCTCACAGATGAAATGACACACTCAGTGAAAACAGGAAAGAAATCCAGCAGCATTACATAACAAAAAAATAGACACTGACAGTTTTTTTTTTCTTCAAACTACACCTACAGTACATCTTGGACAAGACTTGTTTATTCTGTGTGTTTGTCTTCTTGTGTCTCATGTTTCATTTATGTTATGAATTCATTTAGCTATGGATAATCCCCAGCCTGCTGGGCAGCTCAGTGCTGCACTTTCAGTCGGAGGACCAATGGGAACGGTTGTCGGCCTGGGTGTACGGCGCCGGGCTCAGCTCACTCTTCATCATCTCCACCCTGTTCCACACTGTGTCCTGGAAGAAGAGCCACTTACGGTACACGCACACACATTTAACACAGTATTTGGACAGCATTGTAATATTTCAGTAAACACTGTTCTTCTCTGAAAAACATTTGCATATGAGATGTATAAACAGTGGCACTCAGTTGTCACGAGGCTGTTTGATCTCTCTATTCAGGTCTGTGGAGCACTGTTTCCACATGTGTGACAGGATGGTGATCTATTTCTTCATTGCTGCCTCCTACGCCCCTTGGTAAACAAACTAGCCTGCTAAGTATGTGTGTGTATATGTGTGTGGGTGGGGGGTGGCTGCATATATTTGTAGTGATATGTATTGATGCTGGTCCCTAGGCTGAACCTGCGGGAGCTGGGCCCCTGGGCGTGCCACATGCGCTGGCTGGTGTGGGTCATGGCCTCTTTTGGTACCGCCTACGTCTTCTTTTTTCATGAGAGGTCAGCCCAGACATTCAACCTTTACTTTTATCAGTAATCTAATCAATATTTCTCCTGTGTGACAAAACAATCCCAACTTAAAGATCCAGTTACTAGCTTTTTCTGAAATTACAACTTCATCCCGTGATCCTCATCAGTGAACTGAGCTGACTCAGGTGTGTAGGAATGGACTAATATAAGGTATTCTCCCTGAATAACAATTGAAAAATCCAAACTCAAGGTACTATATTAATCAAAATATGAAATCTTTAAACCTGTCTGTGTGGAAGATAGATACTGTTTGTGTGGTATAATGTGAGGCTGTAACTACGGATCACTTTCTAACTAAAGTTTAAGGTCATAAACATACATGATTTTAAGACTTCTTCTTTTGTAACTCTTCACCAAGTTACTCTGTTAGCTTCCAGGTATTAATGTGTATTCATACATATGTATGCTACAATACTTTTGGACAGGTTTCATTATATTCAGTAGTTTGGGTAACTGCTTGAGAAAGAGTGAGATTTCGAGTCCACGCGAGCTCCTGACTAAAAGTTCAGAACATTTTTATATCATTGTTTAAAAAAGTATATGGACTAAATGTTAACATTAACTAAAAGTGGAAGTAGTCCATTTTAGAATGTATTATTAGGAAGTGCCTGAAGTTTACCACAGCAAATGACAACAAAACTGTAGTTATCTAGGATCTGTGATGTTTGGCTGATACCTGATCGGCTTCACAACTTCCTCACCAATAGTGGTGTGAAACATGAGTCCACAAACAAACATTTTTAGATTTAACATTGATCAGCACTTAAAATGTAAAAGATTAGTGACTAGGACCCTCCGACACAAAGCAGAGCATCGTATCAGTGAGAAAGAGAGCGAGAGGAAGAGGTGCAGCATCACACTTTGATATGACAGACGGTGCTAACTCAAACTTCTTTAAGTCACTGGGCTGTTGGCAAGTCGCAAAGATTCAGGGTCCAGGACTTACCGCAAACCCTTCAGCACCTTAACATCTGGTACAGCTAAAGATAAGACTAACCTCAGACAACGCCAGTAAGTGGACCTTTGTGCTGAGACAGTTTTGTCACACATACTGCTCTCAAGTTCAAGAATGAACTCAAATATTCCTCTCTGTATCAGGTATAAGATCATGGAGTTGATCTGCTATACGGTGATGGGAGTTTTTCCTGCCCTGGTCATCCTCTCAATGGTGAGCTCTTTTAGCCTCACCTGTAGTCTGTATGGTTTTGACATTACCCCACTGTAGTGTCTTTAAAACCTAAAGCTACTCTGCCTAATTTCTTTTCAGATGCCAGAGGTTCTAATGAGACTCAAAACAAACTGACACCAGAAAACACTTCTAGTGCTTTTTGCCCCTCCTGTCCTGTTTCCTAAAGCTATGATGTTAACTACGGATGCCTGGTTATGACAAACTGTAGAAAATGCAGCCTCCAGTCTGAAGCTAGTGTTAGCTGACCAATCAGTACATTTGGCAATGCAGTATTACACTTTGGTTACTGGTAATGTGTCACAAAGCACTCATTTTACACAAAGCTCAAATTATTCCCAAATTAAAATGACATAAATTCAATATAAAGGTAAAATCATGACCCTGCTAGGTTGCTAATGTTATCAAAACAAAGCTTTAGATACTAACACATCCAGAAGGAAGAACTGGATTGGCTGCTTTTGACACTCATCTCAAAAAGTCAAACTGATGTTAACCCTGGTTTTTGCTCTTTCTTTGTCCCACTCTCTTTGCAAAAGAACATGACCTATTTGCTCTGGCAAGCCACTGTTTTAGACTTTTAGCTGCTGAGAGCTCCTCCATGGCTGGCTGTTTGAAATGACTACCCCCAGTTTGAAAAATGCTTATTATAACCTTTACTAGGTCTCAGACAGGAGTAATTTATGGGCAGAATTTTGAAACTACAGGGTAAAGAAGCTGGACACAAAAAGAGGTGTAGGCAGCACATTGGGAAGGGGGAGCAGTATAGCTGAGAGACACTGTGTCCTGTCCCTTTTTCACTTGATTTATCAGACAGTGTGTAAAATCACAGGTAATGCGCCTTTAAAATTAGTGTATTTTCTGCCTCCTCCCAGCCGGAGCAGTCAGGACTTTGTGAGCTGCTGCTGGGTGGAGCCTGCTACTGTCTGGGGATGGTCTTCTTCAAAAGTGATGGCATCGTCCCATTTGCTCATGCCATTTGGCACCTGTTTGTGGCTATGGGAGCAGCCATACACTACTATGCCATCTGGAAGTACCTCTATGCCCAGCCATCCAATCAGATCCAGACGTCCAGATGACATCAGCCCTGACCTGACAGGGAGTAGCTTATGTGTTTGAGCGACTTAAAGGAGATGATGTGAGCTGTGTTCAGTTTCAGGTAATGCCTTGTGTAGAAGCTTTCTGGTGAATTTGCACCTCCTCCCTAAATGATATGGGCTAACCAAAACCAATGATGCGTTAAAATGGTCCTCGTCAACTCATAAAACCAAACATGTGAAACATTTCTGTGTTTATCACCAAGAAATTACCCTCAAATTACAGACAAACCAGTGGTAAAACATGGGCAGGCCTGACCATACCTCAGTTCTATTTGAACACATGGTGGACTACTGTCAGAGTACCAGGTTAATAACAAATACAGTATAGCCATAGAACTTGAATATATCTGTAAAAACATGCATTTATTATAATTTCCAGGAGGTTAAGACAAAAAAACAGTAGTTTATGCCTGACTTCCATTATATTATGAGCTTAGGTTTTGTTTCAGGGGATTGTCATGCAGTCCTTAAAACAATAGCAATAACCCATCAAAACATCAGCAACACAAACCCTATGGCCTTCTTTGAATTATGTTACTTCAGTACCTTTCTAGGAGAAGCTTAACTAAATATAAAAATAAATTAGTTTTAATAATTAAAAAAGCATACAGAGGAGGGCCATTATGTTTTTCATACCTGAATAGCAGCTACAGCTGTTCCTGTAAGAGTTCATGGAGCCCAAACAAGCTCTATTTAGCCTGTGAGGCAGCGCCCAGGGAAAAATTGATCTGCAAAAAACTCCCTGCTACTCAGAAAGTGTATTGCTCTGAGCACACAGTAGTAACTGAAGGTGGCTCAGGTAAGCATATCAGCATTAATCAATCTGGAGTTTCTGTCTTCTGGATTATGGCAACTGAACGGCAAGAGAATAGTATTTATAGAGATTTAGTGAGTAAATAATCCCCAGTGGAAATTACACCCTTTCATTATTTACATCCTGTATTGGCTTTTTTTAGTGACTGGTCACCACCTGAAGTCAAACATCTCAAACACAGGCCATGGTTATGTGATATATTCCTGCCTTTATGAGTTGATGAGGACATTTTAATGCACCATTAAGCAGCTGACCAGCACAAAATAGATTGCAGGACACAGAGTCACAAAGCAAATATCAGTTGTGTTTTCCAAACTGTGGCACGAACCGAGGCTGCATTTGGAGGAGACTGAAACCGCCCCATCAGCCTGTTGTGATGAATATGGAGGCAGCTCGTGAATTGGGACACAGCTTTATTTGATTTTATGTTACATTATTTCTCCATGAATTTGGTCTTATTCCAGTGATCCAGGGGTTAAATGACTCTTCTTAGAGATTTCTCTCTATGTGGTGCACATCCAGGTTCATTGTGGTGACTTTACATCATAATTTAAAGTATTATCATCACTATCAAATGTTGTTTTGCTTTGATTATATTTAAGAGGTTGCAACATCAGTAATTAACTATTCCAATTCAGAGCTTGACTATTATA